TATATATAAAATAAATAAAAAGGGGTGAGGGTGTAGATCAGGAGTGAGGCCCAGGGTTTCATTCCTAGTACCACAAATCAATAAAGAGAGGGAAGAAGGGAGGGCAGCATGATACTGTCTCAAAGAGTACATATGAAGTAGAAAGACATCTACCAAAAGATAATAGGAGGAAGAAAGTGCATAAAGCCCTAAGAAGGCAGGAAAAAATTCAGATTCTTTCAACATTCACTATTTGCTCACTCTGTTCCAGGAAGGCCCTGTGTGATCAATCCTGCCCTTCAACACAATCCAGTAGAGGAAATGAAGTAATCAACAGTTATTATCACACCAAGGAGAGAAACTTTTCACTATTATTGTTATTCTTTCAGGTTTTCATTTTGGAGGGTTTTTTTGTTTTTGTTTTTTTTCTCACCAGATAGGCTCTATTTTGCCCAGGCTGGCCTTAACTGGGCTCAGGCAATTCCTGCCTCAGCCTCTTGAGTAGCTGGGACTACAGGTGCACCTGGCTATTCTCTCAGTTTTTAAGTCACCTAAGTTCATGTGTGCACCTATACTTACACAGTATTTATCACATCCTGCTTTACACCTTGTAGGTAGTAACTGCTCATGATAGGCACCACACACAAATTGGGTACCTATGAATTTATTATTATTATTATTATTTTTGTACCTATGAATTTAAAGATGAAGTGACTACCTTGGAGGGGGTCAATTTGTGGGCAAACCAAAAATGCTAAGAAATAATTTTAAAATGCTATATATAATAATGAATAAATGTTATTATATATGTTATTTGGGATGTCAAAAAGAACTGGTAATAAATTTTCTGGAACATCAATATTTTCATTCAGTTCTATAGTGATAAAAATTAAAAATATACCATCATTCCATTTTCTTCTATCTCTTACATTCCTCATAATCCTTTCACTGAAATTACTTTCTGTAAGGGCAACAGGACCTAAATGCTCCCTAAAAAGGGCCTTTCATCTGTATTCTACTTTGCTTCTTCAGTATTTGATAGTGTTAACAAATCATCAAATATCTCCACTGCTTCATGACTTGTGAAACATGGCACCCTCTTTGTCTGTCTGTCTCCCCCCACCCTTCCTCTCTCTGTCTCTTGAGCTACATCCCCAGTCCTTTTATTTCTTATTTTGAGGTTGCCTAGACAGGACTTGAAATTGCAGTCCTCCTGCCTCAGCCTCCCAAAATACTGGATTAAAGGCATGTGCCACTATGGTTGGCTTCCACAGCCTCTACTCAGCCCTACTTTTGCAATTCGTCTATTTCTGCTATGAAAGTGATTTCTAAATTTCTTTCTTTAGTTCAGGAATGCTGTCTTTCACATTCCAGAACCAATTAGATGTACTGCTGAACCTTTAAAATCAAACTATTGAAAAATATCTTTGCCTCCAAATCTGTCACTCCTCCTTCCTTCCCAAGTCGTATCAATACTACCACCCATTTGCCTAGTTATTCAGGCTTAAGGATTTAGAGCCATTGAATTTCTCTCCCTGTATATCTATGTTTTGGTCAAGTCTCATACATACTTTGTCCACTATCACCCCACTGTTGCTATCACTCTACTATCAGACTCAACACCTAGAAAACCACAATAGTTTCCTACACTCCTCTTCCTAAGCCTTGTCTCAGGCCAATTTAGTAAATTATTTATTCCCTAAAGAAATACTATATCATATATGGTCTAGATGCTGAAGATAACAATGGTGAAAATATCATTGATAGTTTCCCTACCATTAATTGGCTCTCCCTTACCCTCTCAGAGCTTATCCTCAAATACGAGAGAACCACTTATGGTAGAAAAACTATAAATATGTTGGAATAGAGAACAGGAGAACCTAAGCCAGAATTTTCTAGAAGTAACATGAAGCAGAAATCAGGAGAAGTTCTGTATATGGAGATGGGGGATGGTGCAGGAAGATGGTAGTGTTCCAAGAAGAAACACCAGCAGGCTGGAACATTCGAAGACAAGTGGAACCTGCAGAGCTGAAATTAGGACCTAAAGACTGAAGGGTGGATGGCAGTGTGTGAAGTTAGGTGAAAAGGAGATGAAGAGTACCTAGCCTTTTAAGGGAGAGCATAGGATTTATTTTTCAAATTAGAATCGTTTTTTTTCCAAGACAAATGCTAAATTAGGTCTGATACCAGACAACAAATGCAAACTGGGCTATGTATATAAGGCAAATTAAGGCTATATGCCTTATCCCAATGACATGATAATCTAGTGAAGGTGGTTAAACATGATCAGGTTTGATATGATCAGGCTTGCATTTTACACAGATCGCTTCAGAATGGACTATAAGATACAAAATTAGAGGTGGGAGGACAAGTTAGGAGGCCATTACAATAACCTAGGCCAAATAATTATAATGATGATGATGGCCTGTACAATATTATAGCAGGGATAAAAAGAATTGGATAAAAACAAGAGATATCTAAAAGAAATAAACAACTTATTTTGACCATATTTGGCAGACAAGGAGGAAAGAAGGGTAACTCCCATATTTGGCTTGGTAGTAGCAATCATGGAGAGAGGAAACTTGAGAGATGTCTGGAGGAAGACAATGTGTTTGTGGTGGGGCTTGTTGAGTAGAATTCCTAGTAGGACTTCTAAGTGAAGACAAGTAAATATTTGGATAGGTTTGAAGAGGGGAGGTCTGCAAATATTGTGTGTGCGAACCTAGGGTCTCATGCATGCTAGGCAAGTGTTCTACCACTGAACTATACCATCAACCCTACTAGTTAACTATTAATGGATAACAAATGACCCCAATTTAATGGCTTAAAATAATAGCTCACTCATGTGGTTGCTGGCAGGCTGCCTGAGCATGGCTGCTGGCTTCCTTCTCTCCATGGCTGCCTCCCAAGTGATAAGGAAGGAAAGAATGTGTGAGGAAGAGAAATAGGGAGAGAAAAATAATACCCAAGATGGAAATCACAGTCTAATCTCAAAAAAGACATCCTATCGCCTCTGCAACACTGTGTTTGATAGAAGCAACTCACTAAATCTAGTCCACACTCCAGGAAAGAATGAATCTCCATCACTTGAGGTAAGAAGTATCAATGAATTTGCTTTCCTAAAGCATAACCCATCACTATCTTTCTTTCTCCCCTGCCAAAAAGTTCAAAACTCTGAATCTTAAGCCAGTGTAGTGGCGCCTACCTATAATTCCAGCACTCAGAAGAATTGCTTTGAGTTCGAGGCCAGGCTGGGCTATATAGTGAGTTCAAGGCCAGCCTGAAATACATAGCAAGACTTTGTCTCAAAAAACAAAAACCACCACCATCACCAAAACAAAACCTGTATCTTTACAATTTCTCCAAAATAAGTATAAACCATCAACTTGATAACTAATTCCTTAACCTACTTCGCTAGCTTCACTTCATATTCTTTCCCTTTGCACATCCCTCATCCACCAATTTGTTTCCAAACACACCTATGCTCTTTCATCTGAATTCATGACATTTCCTTGGCACAGAAGTTTGGTTTTCAAACTTGAATTCAAGGCACAGAATATCTGACAGCTCCAATACTCTTTTCAGAATATTCCAAGATGTTGATACATAAAGCCCAATGGAACAATTCCTAACACTGCTAAAACTAATTTCATCTTATATTAGATTCTACAATAGACAAGTGGAAATAGGTGCCAACCACTTAAAAAACATTTCTTTTACAAGTTGATTAAAAAATAAGGTGGTGGGGCCGGGAATTTAGCTCAGTGGTTTCACCACCTGCTGCTCAAGCTCAAGGACCGGAGTTCGATCCCCGGTACAAACAAAACAAAACAAAACAAAACAAAAAGAAACAAGGTGGTGGGCCAGGGATGTAGCTCAGTGGCGCTGCGCCTGCCTGGCAAGTTCAAGGTCCTGAGTTCAAGTCCCGGTAAGGGGGGAGTGGTTTATTAGAGATTAGCAGCAGAACATCCTCGTGGAAGGAGCTCTTTATCTGAAATAGAAAGTCATCTATTCTTCAGTCTCTCAAAACTTTACATAGCTAGTTGCAAAACGACTGGAACCATTCTGAATGTCTACCAAAAAGTTACTAAACAAATTGTAAAGTTGCTGCACAGTGGGGTGCCATTCGGCCATTAAAACAGATGAAGCAGAGATTCATGTACAGACTTAGAACAACCTTCAGAATACCGTATACTGCTGGACATGGTGGCGGATGTCTGTAATCTCAGCACTCAGACGGCTGAGGCAGGAGGACCGCTGCGAGTTCAATGCCAGCCTGGGCTACATAGAGAGACCCTGTATCAACCTCCCCGCCCCCGGTGTATTAAGGGGGGAAATGCGAGGTGCAGAACAATGGATATACTACGCTATTGTTTTTTGGGAGAAAATAAAAACCCTCCATCCATAACGAGAAAAAAGAAGTCTTTCCTAAAGACTAAATGGCTAGAACATTTCTGGAGAGTAGCAAGGAGATACTGCGGTACGGTGGCTAGGGGCGGGAGGAACACGTTCTACTGTACCAGCTCCACACTCACTCGTAGCATAGACTCTTACCTCCCGCCCCTGTGGGAGACCAGAAGCTCTAACGGTCCGGATCTCGTTCATCTTTGGGAGCCTCACGCCGGATCACGATGTGTCTGATGTTTCTGTTCCTTATTTCAGGGAAGCTCCACCAACCGGGAGGAGGCGTCGCCTAAAGTCGCCCTGCAGGAGGGTGGCGGAGTCAGGACGCCGCGCTCTTCCCGCAGGCGCCGCAGAGCAGAAGACTCCACTGGGTGACCTGACAGGGTTCTTCTCCCGCCTCAAGGCGATTTCTCGATTTCCTTCGTGTAAGAGCAACAAGTGTCCACAGGTCTCGCGCCTCACGGAACGCAGAAGAAGAACAGAAGGAGCGGTGCTGCCTCACTGAAGAGGCTTTGACTGAAGCCTAAGCGAGCAAGTCCTCCAGCGGCCATCCAGGCTCCACATCACGACGCAGAGAAATCAAACTGCGCGCCCTCCCGGAAGTGACGCAGAGGCGCTCGGCTCCTGCCCCCTGATTTCCGGTTCGGGGCCTCTCTTACGCGTGCGCACAGAAAACCAGCTCCCGTGGTTGGTCTCGTTTGCACGAGGAGTGAGCGAAATGGAGGACTCGTCCTCCACCGTACAGTCGCCTTCAGCCGCCACCTCGACTCCAGCGGAGTTGACCTCCCTGGAGAAGCTGGACAAAGAGCAGGTGAGTAGCCCTTGAGCAAATAGGTTTGGAAGCAGGGTGCCTGTGACCCTTGTAAAGCGTGGGGTGGGGGGGGGTGGTTTGCAGGGTGAGGCCAGGAAACTTACCGCGCGGGCTCCAGGCCTCGGTGGACGCCCCCGGACCCCTAGTAGGGCCTTTCGCTGGCCATGCACCTCAGATAGCCCACTTGTTTATTCGTGCGATGGACGCCTTCTTCGCCCAGACTTGCGGTTTGGCCCTCAAATTGGATTGCGAGTATAACTTGGGGTTTTTGGTGAGATTGACCTGGCTTAGCTTTCCTACTATTGGGTCTTAGCCAAGTTTCTTAACTTTGCAAGTCTTTATCCCTCATTTAAAAGTGGCTCTTCTGCTCTCCCCCCGTTCGCAGGAGGCAATGCGTGTAAACCACTGAGGCCAGGAGCCTGGCACGTAGTACTCCGAAAACGCTACTTGCTTTTGTGCCCTTTTCCTGAGATTACAGCCTTGCTCATTGAGGTTGGGAGAAGCTCTTTCCATCTGGCCCAATCCTGAGAAGATGCGCCGTTGTGTAGACAGGTGCTAGAGGCGGGTGTTTAGGCATTGTGGATGGATTCTTAACTTCCTGAGTATAAATTGCACCATCCTAAGAAGCAGGTATTAGGGGCTGCTTATTATAGTCAGTGGAAGGGGGAAATATATATAGTGTTGTTATTTTGAGGAAATTAACTTGTATATCTATACTTTGCAGGTTAGAAAGGCAGTGGAAGCTTTGTTGACATATTCTAAGTCCAGGAAGGACAAAAATGGATTGCTTTTGAATGAAAATGAAAATTTCTTCTTAATGGTGATATTATGGAAAATTCCAGGAAAAGAACTGAGAGTCAGATTGTAAGTTCTGATTTTCTATCTTTGTTATTTTTATATGCTTTTTCCTTCTTTGTATCTTTAACAGTTGCATCTTAGATTCTAATGGAAACTTTGCAAACTCAAGATAAAAATTTAAGATGAAACAAAATAATTAGTGCTATAAGAACTATAGGAATTTAGACATGCTAAAATTTTCTTGGGTTTTTTTTTTTTTTTTTTCCGGCACCACGGATTGAACTCGGGTTCTTACGCTTGGGAGGCAGGTGGCAGAACCACTGAGCTAAATCCCCGGCCCCTAACCCTAAAATTTTCCAGAAATTACACTAATTTTCTTGGGACAGATGTCTTTTGGTTCAAAACCTGGTGTTTGAGAGGTCAAAGGTGAAATAAGTACCTTTTGTTTTTTAGTGGAACCTGTTACCAAACTAAAACATGTACCTGGAACTAAGCTCTCTCCTTAAAGAGACTCTTAAAAACTTGACATTGAACTCCTTTCCAAAGGTGAGGGGGAAACCCTGTATACCTGCTGCTAGGAGTCTTAATTCTCTTTCTGTAGTGTTGGCAAATTTAGCAAATAAAAATTTTTTTTAGTATGAATAGATCCTAGGCATTATTCGGGATCTACTTAAACTAAAAAGGATTTTTTGTTATTTTTTATT